TGGCTACTAAAGGATTACAGGTATCTCTGGGTCCTGTTAACATGCTCCTGACGTAAAAGGTCTTGGGTTTCATTCCCTGCCTTCATATTGTGATATTAGCTACTTACATGGGAGATTTCCTAATTTACAGAAAACGAAGTTCTGAAGCGTGGCATACTGCCTCTGTCCCATTTGTAACTGGTAGTGTAATCAGTTAAGGAATATCACACAGGCAAAGGCGAAATGGCAGGAGCTGACAAGAGTTTCAGGACAGGGCTCATCCCCCTGAGCGTCTGCTCTCCCTGGACACAATGGCCCTGGCAAGTCTGCTGCTGACCTAGTGTGGGCCGGGCACACTGTCTCATGGAATTGTGTCACGCAGAATAGCTCTGTTATTACCTGGTTTCTTAATAGCTCTATATACCCCTCATCTTCTCCCAAATAAAAATTACCAGTCATCTCCAGAATAGTAAGCACTCCCCTCGTGTTACCCTCATGCCTGGACCTTTAAGCCCACATGAGGAAGAAGCTCCTGGGTTTCCTCTGGAACATGATGCTCAGCTTCAGGGGAACTATTTTGTGCTGGGGAGTTAGTGCTGGGCTAGGTCACACACAGGCTGGGCTCTAACTTCAGTGTAGACACAGTTCAAGATCTACATAGGAGTGCATTTCAATGTAACAGCTTAATTTGTGTCCACGGACACAATCACAACATTTTAAAGATCTTAACTGGCTTTATTTCAATTCTGGAATCAGGCAACACTTCATTTCATATAACAGAGTAAGTGTAGCAAGTTGAGTTTTAGAGACAGAAAGGGGTTGAAAACCATAAACAAAAATGGGATTAGTTGGATCAGAGCTATCTTCCTTGTGAAGCACAGGCTGGGAGGAAAAAATACAACTGGCTGCCATCAGATTTCTTGAAGTTTTTTCTTAATGCAAAAGTTATGGCAAAGGGAACTTCATTATTGTGCCTATTGAAATCAACCTGTGTGTGAAATGTGTCTGCTTTCTTTCTACTTCTGACTTCTCAGAAGTTCAGAGGACCAGTTTGGTTTCATCTAGATCCCGTGGAACTTGAGCATGAGTGACTCCATTTTGATTTTTCAGCCTCATCCATTGAGGATTAGGAGAGGACCTCCATCCAAAACAATGGATTCCCATCCTTTTTATTTAAAATTTTCATAGAGTATTTTAAAAGTTCTGGGATCATGGAGATGGTTTTTCAAATACTCACAGTGCCTCTGTTTTGTTTTAACAGCTTTCTCATTTGGAGCAGGTCATTGGATCTCAATTCCTCAGTCTTTGCTTTGAACTGGAAAGATGAATGATAATCAGTTATATAATTTTAGCCACTGATGTGAAGCTAAGATGTGAGAAAAGGGGCAGACATAGAAGATAATTTAAACAAGAAGTTGCTTGCTATGGTGTGATGAATGTATTAGCATCAACAAGAAAGCATGGAGATTTATGTACATTAATTATAATATTATGATTGCCACGATTGAGGAGGAAACTTTCTCATTTAAAAGTTATAAGGATGTTTCTTAGAATGATGTGACCACATGTTGATGGTGAAAGTGTAAATATTTTCAAGTTCTGAATCAACAATTTATTGTAAGAGTTAGCAAAAGAAGCTTAGGCTCTATGATGTGTAAATTTCTGTCTATGGTCCTGGGAATCATTTCTGCTTGAGATGTAGCTGTGGATGATCTGGACATCACTACAGTTCCCAGCCCTGAGGACCAGGTTCAGGACTGATAGGACATGTGGGTGAGGGCCGCAGAAACGTCCACGCAGGAAACTGTGGCCTGGCTGAAGGGCAGGGAGGGAGGGAGCACCACTCATGCCCAGCCTCACGAAGACACAGCCATCTGGTAACCTTCCCCGTAAGGGTGCTGAAGTTCACCTTGCCTTGCAGCCCTGATGTTCATCCCTTTACAGTAACTTCCTAAACTCTTAGTCGTTTTGTTGGCCAGATAAGACATTAGAAAATGCTTCCATGGAAAAGATAATGTTGCAAATAGATCTGAATTTAAATCTTATTTCTGCTACTTATTTGCTGTTTCCTTGGGAGAGTAGCTTGAGTTTCCATTGGTGCAAAAGGGATACAATGGCTAATAGTGACTTGTGCTTTTGTGACGGTTGTGTGAGGTAATTTTTCATAAGCATTCAACACCAGGTTTGATATGCAGTACATACTCAATGTGCACTAGTCATTGCTATTATTTATCTATTAAAAGTAAAAAGAAAAGATCTTCCATTTCTATGTGAAAATATATACTTATTTTAAGCAAAAGGCATCACATGTTTTCATTGTAAGATTCAGAATGGAAATATGTACACTATTTTATCATTTCCCTGCATACTTTCATGTTTCAAGATCATTTAAAAATATTTTTTTTTGGCCTAACTGAGAATTCAATGCAGTTATCCTTTACCATTGAGCTACATCCCAATGCCCTTTTAAATTTTATCTTTACTTTGAGACAAGGTCTCATTAATTTTCTCAAGTTGGCCTAGAACTCGTGATTCTCCTCAGCCTACTGAGTAGCTGGGATTACAGGTATGTGCCACCCTGCCCAGCCAAAATGAGATATTTTAATTAAATATAGAAACTAAGCTTTTACAAACAAAACAGATTGCAAAGGAACATTTGCATTAGGTGCCAGCCATCCAGCAGGTATATTTTATTATCTGCCTAGTAATTTCCAATTACAAATGAGATGCCTGAGACAGTGAAGCATTTAGGCTCTTGGCTTTTGATTAGCATTAATGATAAAGCAGGGTATTCTGATACTGCATTATCTGGCGTATCCATGTCTGAAGTATCCGTGCTGATAGTGGCTTAGTAGATAAAGGAACAGCTCTCTAGGAGCTGCTCACGTGGGTGCCTTCAGGAGATGTCACTGTCCAGAACTTGAGAGTGTACGAGAAAGGTGCCTGCCAGGGAGCTAGGGCTCCTGCGGGGAGGGTATCTGGGCTTCACTGTCTAACAGGGGGCCCAGCCTCCCAGATGAAGGCTGCGCCTGGGTTCAGGGGCAGCGCCCGGACCACACCCAGGAGCCAGAGAGCCCAGCATGGGGGCGCAGCTCTGTGCCCTTTGTCTGTGAACTTCTGCATTCAGACCCGTGAGAGGACAGGCATCTGTGGTCTGATGCCCCACTGTGAACACGTGATACCTCTGGGAGGGAGCGTAAAGCACGCGTCGTTTATGCTCTGTGTTTGCCTGAAGACCTCGGGCAAAGCTGCTGAAGAAATCCTACACGAGAGCTAAATATTCCAATGTAAATTAAAAGCTATTAATACACACACACACACACACACTTCAAATATTGTTCTATCTAGAAAACTAACCACGTTTGTCTGTAGACTCACTTTTCTCTGCCCTCCAAACCCTTCTACAATGATGTTTATGCCCTCTTCTATCTTCATGTTATGTGATGATCTATATTCATTCCTCCTTGAAGAAGAGCAGATGTGTCAGGTGCAGCCGGGTACATCTGTAATCCCAGCACTCTAGGAAGCTGGGGCAGGAAGCCTGCAAGTTCCAGCCCAGTTCGGGCAACTTGGCAACTGAGGAAGACCCTTTCTCAAAATACAAAAATAAAAAGGGCCTAGGATATACAGCTCAATAGGAAGACCCTGGGTTCAATTTACAGCATTGCCAAAAAAGGGCAGAAATTAAATTTGTACCTTTTCATTTCACCACTGGCAAGCCTGTAGAGTCGTCCACATCAACAACATGAAATCTTTTCCTCAGTTGTGACAATGGATGAAACCCTCTATATCTACCACCTTCTGCTGGCAAAGAACTGTCTCGGGCGGAGATGGGGCGAGTCCCCGTGGTCCCGGGCCTGACTCCCCGAGGACGCAGAGGGTTGTGGAAGAATCGGATAGAGACCGAAAGCATAGAAGCAAACTGTACTTCTGTTCAGCAAGCATACAAGAGTACAGCTGCCTTCTCTCAGTGAGACGCACGGGGTGCCCGAAACGGAGCCACCATTGTAGGGGGCTCCAGATGCTGGCTTTATAGTTGGGGGCCTATCCTGCCTCTGGGCTGAGGGCGCCCCTGCTTGATTGGTTAATGATTAACTCAGCTCCTTACTAGGGACAACAGGGAAGGGTCTTTTCAGGGGCCTTGTACATCTTAGGGCCAAGGCTTTTTTTCCTTTTGATCTTAGCAGACCAAGTTTTCCAGGGTGCAGCCTGAAGAGGAGGTGCAACCTCAGCAGACTGTCAGTTTTTCACGGTGGTTAAGCCTGTTCTGCCAGCCATCTGAACTCCTTCAGCCGGGCTTGGGGTGTCCCTCACCTCTCCCTGCCTAAGGGTCTCTATCCGTACAGAACAATAAATCCAAATGCTCTTTCTTAAAATTAATTTTATTAGTGCATTTTAGATATACATAATGATAGCATTCATCATAGGGAACCTGTGCCCGTACATGATATCCCTTGATTCTCCTTTTTTCCCCAATCCCCTCCTCTCCCTTCAACCCCTCTTCTCTTATTTACAGAAGCTTTGTTTCCACTTTTTTCTTCTATTCTTTTTCTTTTTCCTTCCTTCCTTTCCCCTTCACTACTCCCTAGTTCCCCTCCCATTTGAACATTTTCTTCCTATTTCACAGTATCTGTCACCAATTTTGGTTCTTATTACCCTTTTGGTTTCTCACACCAGAGAAACAATGCGGTATCCAAGCACGTGCCTCCGACTTACCTCACTGAGGAGTATGGTCTCAAGGTGTGTCCACCTACCTCAGAATGTCTCAAGCTCATCCTTCTTGTGACAGAGCAGTACCTAATGTTCTTAAGAGCTCTCTGCTCTGCCCTTTTTAATGACTGGACTTTAGTTTGTTCACAACCAAAATTCTCATCTCTTCTGATTCATCTCAGTGAGCACACAAATGTGCCCGTGAGAAGCCATTTTATAAAAGCTCCCTATTCGTTTCCCCTGTGCCTTCCTCTCCAGTTCTCTGGTGATTTTCAGTTTTCTATGAATGTTATCTCCACTCCCCACTTCTCAGTCACCTTGAAGCCCATTCAACCTGGCTTCGATCACTGCTGCTCCTTCAAAAGCTCACACTCAGGTCGCAAAAATTGCCACCGTGCCGCCTCAGGGGTAGAGCCCTGTCCTTACCTCTCAGTCATCCCAGTAGTCACTGCCGCCATTTTCTCCTTTGTCTTGTTTTGAAGGCAAACTTCCTCCCGGTCCCTGTGAAGGAAACCCTGTCAGTGTGGCCTCCAGCTTTGTGGCTGCTCATCATCCACTTGGTCCTGGACCTCTCAGTTCTGGGTCATCTTGCTATAAAAAGAACCTAAAGAAACCCCGCTTAGGAGACATAATTCATACTCATGGCTGTGAGGAATTAAATACCCAGCTCATGGGCAGCGAGCAGGGACTTGCTGTCAGAGTCTCATTGCGTCTATCTGCCTGTGACCAGGACACCTCCCCGTTCTTGTCTTGGGGACCCACCCTCCGATCCCAAGTTTCCCCACTTCCATTCTCCACACTTCAGTCATCGCCATCTTTCTTAACACTAAACAGCATTTAAAACTAAATACCTCACCACAAAAAAAATTCTAGGTGTATAAGACACATACACGTTGCATAGCTTCATTTAACATGTCATGTTACATGGCTTCATCTATCTAAATGTCATTTTGTGCACCAAAATATAGACAATTTTGCTGCCAAGATAAAAAAAATTGGACATCTGAAAGCCAGCCTAAGTTATATAGTTCTCCACCTCCCACTCAGCCTACCATCTTGTTTACAATACTTAGGAAACATACTTCCAATTGTCTGATCCAACTCTCCTTTGCCATTGCATCCCAAGCACAGGCTCCTATTCCTCTCAGAGCAGAACAAGACCAAAGCCCCTGATTGAATCTCGCTCTTCTGGTCCAGTCTCTTCTAATTCATCTCGGTATCATTTCTCTGACAAAATCTTCCCAATTCCTTTCCCTTGTATTTGCAATGTCAGAATTCTTCCCCTTGGCCTTGGGGATTGACCACTCTGTCACCTCACCTGGCTCCTGCCCTCCTTCCTTCTGCCTCTGCTTCACTGTTCTCACAGGCCTTGAGCGCACCACGCCTTTCCCTCCTGGGCACACTGAGCGTGTTCTTCTCCAGCTTCCTCACAAGGGCAGCTTTTCATTTCGCAGCTGTCAGCTCACCAGTTTTCAAAGATGCTTTAAGTAACAATCTGCGTATGAAGACTTAGTGATAATTAGGAAGCAACATCTCCTTTGTTAATCCTTTAACTCCTCTGAGAAGAGTACCTGAGGCTCCTGTCAGCTTTCTAAGGGCAAACATTCATCTACTTTATTACCTTCGGGAAACTGAAATGGGAGAAGCACTCAAAAGAGGTGATAAGAGATAAAAATGATGTGAAGAGATAAGTGAGCTTCTAAAGCAACCCTCAGGGCAGTAGTATTTATCCTGTATTTATTTTGAAATGTGTGTAACTTTTGGTGGTGCTGGGCCCTGAAGCAGGCTTTGCACACCCTGAGCTCGTGCTCTGCCGCTGAGCTGAGCTGCAGGTGATGACCAAGCTGGCGTGGAGCTGTGGGCACCGAGGTGCTTCTAGACTACTCCGTATCCTCGGGAGAGATCACAGGCCCACCTAGAACCTCAGCACATCTTTGCTTATCAATAAACAAGAGAGAGCACGAGATCAGATTTTTTTTTCAGGGATATTTATCTAAAAAAGTCAGACAAGCCTTCGCCATTGGACTCCTATCCTTTGGAAATACAGACTTAAATTTTCTGTTGATGTCCTAATTTCAGAGATTCTTTTCCACTGCATTTTCAATCATAAGCCAAGCATTACACTGCCCAGGGTTTTGATGCAGGTTGCAGTTGATTTCAATATGTAGATTCACACCTGTGCTAGACTCCAGGTTTCACTGTATAGAGTATGAGATCCGGAGTGTGTGGAGACATAAATTGAGACTAGGAATTTTTGTCTTTCTGTGTTTTGTTTTGTGTTTTTTTGTTTTGAGACAAAATCTTGCCATGGAGATCAGGCTGGCCTTGAACTCATTATGTTGCTCAGGCTGGCCTCAAATGACAACCCTCCTGCCTCAGCCTCCTGAGTGCAGTGCTGGGTTGTCTTTATGTTTCAGTCTGGTTCTTACCGCTTTGGGATAATGGCTTTACTATCAACTGAGGCGGTATGATAAAAAATAAAAGACATGAAATTTTTTCAGAAAATTGACAGATAATTAATGCCCCCAAAGCAAAAACCTCACAAATAATTAATCCTTAACTCAAATTATGCTAAAATAACAACTTTGTAAGCAGAAAACTATGAATTTGAATTGCTATTCTGCTATGTACAAGGACAGGTGCAAATAGCTTCCCTTTTTTAGAGTCTAAAAGTAGAAAAATAATCATTATTTAATGGAATTGCTCTGAATTTAAGCCATACACAGAAGTGGCTGCTGGTTTAAAAATTACTCAACCAGTGAAACAATTTCATTTTTACATTGTTTCTGTTAGTAGAAGCACTGAAGATTTTATTTTGTGGTTATAAATTAATTGTCTCTTAAAAGTTTTAAGATGCCCTTGTGTTTGGTTGCACAGTGCTTCATACCTCCACTTCACTCGGATAAATGCTTACAGTATAGCAAATATTTTAAAAATAGAGACATTTCTCAAATATCCATTTTCTTCTAATTTAAACTGTAAAATGGGCACTTCGCATGTTGAACTTGAGCCGTGCTACAAACCCACAAGTCCCTCATGCCAAGTCTTCCAAAGCCTGCCCTGTATACTGTAATCCTGGAAACTTACTAGTACCAATTCCCAGTAGTACCAATAAACACCGTGTACTTTTCTGTATGCACTCAGTTTCATCAGTGCAAAGATTTTACTACATTTATACTTCTGAAATGGAGAAGCATCTAACAGAGAATTGTTTCCCATGACCATTTTTGGCTGGAAGCAGTCGCGATGCAGTTGTGATAACAGCTCAAGCAGGATCCTGAAGGTTCTCACTGTGTGATTGAACAACTGAACCCCTTCATAATATAAGTAACCGCTCAGGAAGGAAGGCGATTGTTGCACTTTCTGCTGAGATGAAGAAAGCACATCACTAGCCCTTGCTGGCCAGATCCTGGAGAAAGTGGCAAATTCTTATAAGAACGGGCATCATCAGGCTTTAATGGGACCAAGAGCAAGGAGAAGAAACACAATGAGGGACGATTTTGAACCTAACTGAGATCTGGGCCAGTTTTCCCCTACGTAAGATGTTCAGGAATGTCAGAGTCAGTTTCCTTCACTTATCTTTCCCTTGCTAGATATGAGATAAAAATCTAAACTATAGCTAAAAGAGTTCTAGATATACATGCATAAAATACAATTTCTAAGCATTGGAAAAGCAGCAGACTAATTTATAACACTTTTTCTCCTAAGGATATGTAAAACATCATTGCATCTGGGGACACTGAATGTTCTAAGAGCCAATGAAATGTGGTAAGTCAGTACTTAGAACACTGTATGGGAAGAATATTTTTAAACTGAGAGCTCCCATAGAGACAATGACATTCCCGCACTCGTGAATTGGTAGGTATGCTTTGCATTTAACATCAAGGAGAGGGCCATGCTGGAAGCAGGTGGCCAGAGGCGCAGTGTGCAGAGTCCCAGGCCTGAGAGGATGAAGGGAATAAAAATAGCCTGGGAAAGCTGAAGAGAAGGCTCCATGCCTCGGTGGAGAAAGTGAGGACCCTGTAGGGACCAAGTCTCAGTGCAGACAGGGCTCTTCCTGCATGGTCCTCCCACCATCACCTTCCCTGTCCCTGAGCACAGTGTCTCACTGTCAGCCACTCTGCCGTGAGTGATCCCACTGCTGAAGTCTAACTAGGAGCAAAGTCCCCTGGGAAATAAAAAAAAGCCAGTCTTGGCCAGTTCCTCTTGACAGGAAAATGTTATTTCAACAAATGACATGTTGGATGTTCCCAAAACAAACAAAAAAGGAAGCAAGTAGAGATGCCTCCTCTGGTGACTGCTCATGCTGCTTCATAGGTGTGTGCAAGGAAAGGCAGCATATGCTCTCCGGGGGTGTAATGTGTGATTTGAACATGCCCAGCTGTCCCCAGCCAGGACCCCTTCCCAGAGACCCTCAGCCCTAAGCCGTTCCTTTCCAGGAGCCACACAACCCCACTGAGAGCCTGAGAGAGCCCTGCCTCCCTGCACCCTCAGTGTGGTTAGCCTGATGCTGCTGACCAACAGCAAATGATGCAGGGGCAGAGGACGGGAGTGGCTCTGGCCAAGCTCACGGGGGCCAGAAAGCTTTCAGGACAGAGTGGGAAGGTTCAGGACTGACACTGGGTCACCAGTGCATCCTGGATGATGTTACAGCGGTGCCGATGGCCACAGACCTCCACTTCAAATGTGTTCAAAAGCAAGTGCAGACCTTGGAGCCCGAAGGATCAGCCAGGGAAATCGGAGTAGTGCTGAGCCTGGACCTTGTATTGGAGCTGGCTCCTCTCGGTTGAAAGAGGAAGATGTGAGAGGTGGTGAACATGAAGTGAGGACCTTTCTTCTCCACGCCAGCTTCAACCTGGAAAATGAGAAGTGTGCGTCGGTGACTTACAAATGGAGTTATTCTTGAATATTTTTAAGCTCCTTCTGCTGACTCTAGTAATAAGTTCGCGAAAGAAGATGAAGCTAAGTGATAATAAATAATACTTAACAGAAACTCAAACTTTGAAAAAGTATCATTAATTATAAAAATTATGTGCAGCCAGCCTCACCTCTTACCCCAGTAACCTTGTGACCACAGTGCACTCCTGATTTCTTGAGATTCAAATACCATGAATATTGAGTTTCAGTTTTTTGTTAGCATTTTTATAACTTCTCTTAATAAGAGCAAGATAAATAATGAGCGAGCAGAAGCAAATCCCCTCATCATGTTCACTTTGACCTACAGGATGACGAAGAAAACACGTCTCAAAGTTAGGTTCCACTGCACCCTTTCCAGATGGAGTCCCCCGGACTAGGACAGGGTCAGGAGAGTTTCCTTGTCTCAGGATATTGTCCACTGTGACTTGGTGACCCCCAAACACTGCTGGATTCCAGAGCATTTTCAAGATCCTGAATAAGACAGGTTAGGTCCTCTGAGACTGAGAGTGGATATCAAGACCATATGGAGGGTATTTTTAAAATCATTATACAAATTAAGCTAAGTTTTACTATAATAGGGGTTAGTTAAATGAAGGGGTGGGGTTACAGGGAGCATTTCAAATTGCAGAAGCTAAAAAGCTATAATATCTATACTTTGATGATTTCTTTCTATGGGAAAGATTTTTTCCCCTAAAATTGTTTCTTTTTTGATTTTTGGTATCCGGGGATCGAACTTGGGTCCTTCACGCTTTCGAGGCAGGTGACAGAACCACTGAGCTAAATCCCTGGGCCTAAAATTGTTTCTTGAACAACAAAATTATTTCCACTCTTAAACGTTGAAGTTGTTACTTGAAAAAAAAACAACACAATGTACCTACTTAGCTGAACTAAACACCTCCTTTTCCAGTTACTGGAGACAGGAGAGAATGTGTGGGTCACTGTAAAGAGAGAAGGGGGCGCTGCTGGCGGACTCACAGATGGGGATGGCCCAGAGTCCCGGGTGGATCAAACATCCCAGGAAGCGGCAGCCTGTCTGTCCTCTCTACCCAGAGGGAAATGTAACTTACATTCTGAGCGTGTCATAAAAAAGAAAAGAATCTTGAGTCTACAAATTAAACCATCTTGCTTTCTTTAAAAAGTAATTGAGAACAACAACAAAAATGCACCAAAGTGGAAGTATAAACAATAAATGTTCACATTAAGAAGACAACATTACATTACCATTAACAACTTCACATTACATTATCATTAGAGTTCACATTAAGAAGATAATACTATAAATGAACCTCATAAACAAAAATACAAATTTTGGAAAAACACTGTTGATATTTTTCATGCATTCCACTGAAATAGGTAAAAATGCTTTAAAAGACCTGTGATCAGTCTATTCAAAGCAAAATAAAAATTACTAGTTGGGACATGGTAATTGCTAAGTTCCTATTTAGTTCCTCAGAGCTATTAATAGGCCAAAGGAGTTTATTGATTTGTGAAATTTATAAGGTATTTAGAATGAAATTTTAAATTGTTTTATTTTAGGCTTGGAGGCCACCTGTCTCAGCACAGACAAGTCCACCTACAGAAGAGTTTTTTTCCTCTTGTAAATTGTTTTATTGTTTTTTATATGGATATTGTAAGCTATTATGAATGAGATTCTTTGAATATCATTTCAAGCTATTACTAACTTCACAAGTTATTTTTCTGTTTACTCAGCTTTTTAAGAGCTTAATGCAATAATCAAAGATATTTAATTGTGAAACTTCCCCCCAGTCTTATTAGCTCCCCAGAGTGACAAGCTAAGCACAAATGCTCAATGTCCCTGCCTGCATCACCTTGCACGAGGTCTTCTGAATCAAGCGGGGACCATGTGTTGAGGCCAGGCCATGTGCTCGGCGCCTTGTTCTTTCTTCTGCCCTTGACCGGGGCTCTACACTGCTGAGATGTGGTGCCTTGGTGCCTACTGGAATCAACCAACGCTCTTATTTAGAGAAGGCTGTGTTGTAAAACCAAGCTCTTGCGACTCAACCATGATTCAGAAAGCCTTCGGGGATGGAAACAACTCTAGCCAGATGGTGCTTAAGATTAAAAAAATCCAAAGCTCTTTCACAGAAATCAGTCAGTTAGTATGCTAAGTCACAAAAGGTAAATTGCAGAATCGCTTTTTCCCAATTCCAAACCTTTTTCTGATGTTTCTGATGTTTCCTGTCTTTCAAAGCAATTCTGTCCTTTTTCTCACTGATTTCAATTTTTAGTATAGAAGTAATGATTCAATATAAAAACAAATGCATTATGATTTATCCCAGATTTTGGCTCCATGGTTTGGTAGCAAGAATACAAGTTTGTTGTTTGGTTTTCACCTGGCTCGTGTTGTTTACAACTGAGTGATTTATGTAGATGCTGTAACTATTCATTTCCTTGTGTGCATAGCAAGGAGAACACCATCTTCCTCCAGAGTTTTGTTAAGGATTGAGTGGAGTAATAGGTTTATGGTAAAGGAATCACAGTTTGAACTCAGAGCGGCCTATGTGCACACAGACATGTCCACACACATCTTCCAAGGACTGGAGGATCTATCGGCAATTTATTTATCCAATGGCCAAGGGGATTTCTAGGAAGAAACTCATTCTAAAATGTTTCATAAAAAGGGGCTACAGAATGAAAACAAATATCTTTTCTGAAACAAAATGGCAATGCTTTGTCTAATGCAGTGAGGAGCCCATGAACCAAATAATACAAAATGCAAACTTGTAAAAGTATTGTTCTTTCATTATTTTGCAGATGCTAGACAACGAAAAGCAGGATTTGTTTTTGTTGTTCTTTGTGGGGTTAGTTTATTTGCTTTTGTAGAGCTAGAGATCTAATTCAAGGCTTCACACTTACTAAACAAGTGTTCTACTGCTGAGATATCTCTAACTCACAAAGCAGTTGTCTTTTAAAACCGTTTTGTGTTACAAAATATACAACATGGAAAACTCTGTTTATTCATGGAACTTAGTGGAGCCATCCAGGACACAGCTGAGCTCTGTCATGTCACTGCCTGAAAGGGGACACAAATATCTTTGCCAGTTACCACCAGCAGTATCCGGCCCCTGAAAACAATGGTCGTAAATATGGAACTTCAAATGTCCTTGTTTTAATGGCTTTAAGAGCCAGGAGGTGACAACAATAAATGAATTAGAAAGATTACACTGAGAACCAGCCGCAGGGATGGTATCTGGGTAGAGGTAATATATCAATAAATAAGCATAAGATAGGGCATAAAAATGGGCAGGGGTCAGCAAAGGTTTTCTGTAAAGAGCTAGACAATAAATATTTTAGGCTTTGTGACCAGGTGTTCTCTATCGCAACTATTTAACTACCAAGGCAGTGAGAAACTTCTACAGAGAATCAACACAGGAGCAGGGGAAAGGGGGATTTGGCTACAGGTCAGGGTACAGGCTCTAGGCATCCCGAGTGTGTTTGCATCCATGCTCCTGAGCATGGACGAAATAGAGGAACACTCAACCCTGCTTTGAGAGTATAATACATAGTGTTTGTGACTTTGATATGGTCACTTTATAATTGTAAAGAAATCATTATTTATATGCCACATATTTTGAACAAAGAAGTCAAATAAAATGTTCTATGATACATTTCTTTCTGAAAAGTCTATGAACCCTCACTTTCATTCCTAACAATGATCACATTGTACTGAATCATACTGTTTTTCTGGTGATATAAAAAATACCTCAGTCAATGTCAATCTAATATTTTGCCTGAGTGGATGACAGCATCTTTTGATATTGGCTATGTTCTGGGAGTGTAGGACCCTTCAAGAGTAAGACTCTAAAATGTATCCCAAGATCATTCAAGATCATTAATAATTTTACAAAGCAACAAAATGGAACTGGACAGTATGCAAGAAGAACAATGGCAAAGCATGAGGGTGAGATAAGGTAGATGATTTCCTGTCCCAATACTGAGCCAATCACTTGTAAAAAAAAAATGTGCTCATGGTTCTCCTTGGAAAGGTGATCCATAGCCTTAAGAAAGAGAGTTCTCATCCCTTTCTCCTCTACAATTGCTGCAATGTTAATTTATACTGCTGGGCAAACTTTCCCCTAGTTCTAAGATAATTTCCAACCATCAAGAAATTGAAGTGTGTTTGTTAAAGTGAGGCATGCCTTCACAGAGAGTGGTCAGTAGTGTCACACACAGAATGTCACAAAGATGTGACTGGTATTACAACTGCAGCAGAATGGAAGGATCACCTGGGACCAGTATGCTTGTGATGGTATATTTTACTTAAAGCAAAATGTAAACTATAATTAGAAAGCAATTATGTGTAATGCTATGCACTAGAGCAATGCATAAGAATTGTTGAAGATACATAGAGGAAAATTCATCAGATAAAAATTAAATACTAAAATATATTTAAATAGTCACAAAAGTCAGGAAAAGATAAACAAGAAAACAACATATTGTACAATCAGAAAATTAATAACAGAATATATGTATACAAACTGTTTACATTTGTTTACATTATGTGCAGCTTTTTAATAAATTATCTCAATAAAGCTTGAAAAAAATAAAACCTTCAAACCATAACAATCACACTAAATTTTAGTAACTTAATCACACATTATTAAGAGAAATTAAATTAAATTTTTAGAAACAAAATATATGCTGCTACAAAAATAAGAACTTGATATATAATAAGATAGGTTAAAAAGAAAGAATGAAAAAACATTATGAAAACATTTACGTAAAGATTCTGGAGGGGCTATATTAATATTTGACAATGTAAATTTTTTTGGGAAAAAAGAAACTAGTGGAAATAAAGAATGATATTACAGTTTCCAGTTGATGGGCACTTGGGCTGTTTCCAAACCTTAGCTATTACAAACTGTGCTGCTATAAACATAGGTGCGCATATATCGCTGTGGTATGATTCTTTTAAGTCTTTGGGGAAGAT